ATAGATTAAAGTTGTTGTTTATGGTGGGTAATAACAGGTGCTGGTAGGTAATGGTGGGCCACGGCGACTGGTGGTAGGTGATTGTGAGTGATACTAGATGATAGTAAGTGACGGTGGGTCATTGGGTGTGATAATCATCATGGTGGTGGTTAAAGACGGGTGATGTTGGTAATGTGTGTGACAGTTGGTGCATTTGAGTAATGATTTGTTAAAGTGGGTAATAGTTGGTGAATGTTTACAATGATTGGTGATGACAACAATGGATTGGTGAATGTAAGTGTATCCTTCACACCCTTGATCCAGGTCTTCATATTCTTTTTGTAGTACGCTTTACTGGCAAGCTGGTGAAGTGCCATTCGTGTCAAATGCCCAAACCACCTGACTGTTTTCCTTTGAGTGTAGTACAGGACATGTGTCGCTCCTATCATTTCTCTGATTCTGTTGTTTCTGGTCATGTTTGATTTGATTTTATTGACGGCTCTCCTTGGACATCTCATCTCGCAGGTGGTTATCTTACGTTCCAGACTTTTAGTCAGGGTCCACGTCCGGCGTTGGAAGGTCAAAGTGGGGAAGAAGACAGATGGGATTGGAGATAGTGCCATGGTAAAACAAACAAACCGGTCGCCACCATATGTATATATATAAAACCGTACAAACACAAGGCTTAACGCGCTCACATAAGAACGCGCACCCCCCCCCCCCCCCACACACTTTCCTGCACCAAAATCTTTAAAAAAACCCATACAAATTTACGTTTGCACACAGACAATCAAACGTACAGACATACAGGCAGACTGACCGATAATATACACATTAACAAGGACAAAGGCTGGTGGGTCACTGCTTTTGCCTTCTTAATTCTTGTTTCTGTCTCTTTGTCCATACGCCCATCTTGACGGAAGAAGTCTTCCTTGGTTTTATTCATTACCGGCTCACTAGGCCAGTCGTAACTTCACCAGAGGACCGTTAGCCAGAGACGTTTCAGGGTGACCTGGGTTATCCTTCACGGTTAGCGTAGAGCTTCCGTGGCATAAAGCCACACGATACTTCACCCAAAACCAGCAATCTCATATTTTGTCCTGTTTCCATTGAGTGAATTTAAAGTGGCATCAGAGAAAGATGTCATTAAGTATATCAAAGAGTTCCCCGCTAAAACATGTGACTTAAACCCAATACCCACTTCATTGTTAGTTATGTGCATTGAAGATCTCGCACCATATGTTACTCGTTTTACTAATATGTCACTCACCACTGGAATCGTACCTGATCTTTTCAAACAAGCCATTTTAAAACGTTTACTTAAAAAACAAGGTCTAGATCTAGATGAAAACGACATGAGAAATTTTAGACCAGTTTCCAATCTTAACTTTTTATAAAAAATCCTGGAGAAAATAGTTTTGTGTCAAGTTCAGCAACATTTAAAGGCCAAGGACATGGAAGAGCCTTTTCAATCTGCTTATAAAAGCCACCACAGTACGGAAACCGCTCTTTTAAAGGTATCATCAGATGTTTTAAATGAAATCGATAATTAAAAAATCTGTGTTTTGGTTCTACTTGATTTGTCAGCGGCGTTCGATATCATAGACCACGAAATGTTACTAGAGAGATTGGAAAAGTCATTTTTACTATTAGGTAATGTTCTAATATATGGCCTTCTATATGGCTGTGAATGCTGGACAATCACTAAAGACTGAAGATAAAATAGAAGCAACAGAAATATGGTTTCTTAGGAGACTGCTAAGAGTATCGTGGAAAGAAAAGAAATCAAATGAGGTAATTGATGAAGCCCACGAGAGACGCTCAATGTTAAAAACAATCAGGAAAACGACAAATGCAGTTTTTTGGGACACCTGAATAGACATAAGGGTCTTGAACATCAATCTCTCACTGGCAAAAATGAGGGCAAGCGAGGCAGGGGTAGACCCAGAACAACATACTTAGGGAACCTGAACAAATGGGTAACAGGGAAAGATTAGGGAAACGTAGCTTTTTGAGAGTATCCGAGCAAAGGAATGAATGGAAAACCATGATCGCCGATGTCTGTCGCAGATCTGGCACAGGATGATGATGATGACTGTCGTAACGTGGTTTAAACCATATCTAGAAAATAGATTTATGTCAGTGAAAATCGGAAGAGATGTTAGTAGAAAATGGATGCTCAAGAACAAATTAAAATTAAATTAGGATAAGACCGAAATATTATTTATTCGCAACAGGGAAGGTCCGAGCTCTTTTTAATGGAAAAAAAATGTCGACTTTGAGCAGATGCCATCTCACCTGTCATGGCGGAATTACGCGTGTAATTACTTCAACTATCTGCACTAAAGGAGTCCATTGTTCAAAATATTGAATTTTTTTGCCCTAGGTCAAACTGCCATATGTGCAGGATATAATATAAGTATCTATAGTGCATACTAAGACCGTACAGACTGTGACAGGTGAGAAGCAGTCACGCTATAAGAGAGCACGTAACGTGACCACACTAGTAGTAAAGTTGTTTTTTAACCAGTACATTATTTCCATAACCCAGAATTGTCGAATTATAAGAAGACAACATGAACGTAAAAGGTCTCGGAAGTGTAACATTCTCCGCGTGTTTTTTTACCACATTGCTCTTGATAGGCAGCTGCTCGGGGCGGGTCGTTTTCAAGTTTGGTCGCTGCCCGACAGTAACGGTCAAAGACGACTTTAACGCCACAGAGGTGAGTGCCATGGCTTCTGACGTATACACAGAAAGGCCCAGTTCCTCGTGGACATTTTTGCTTTTGTTTTTTTTTTGGTGTTTGTTTGTTTTTTGTGTTTTTTTGTTTTTACTATTGTTTTTTAAAACTCTAAATGCTGTCTATAGTAAGTGGGTTGATTGTTTTACATCTACTTTACGATGCAACCGTCAAGGCCCCACTTCAGTTTTCAAAGTCATACCTATTATTTCATAAAGTCTTGGACTCTTGCCGATTTTCTAATTGTTTAAATTCATTTTAAATCTAATTTTATACAAATGTGGCATTTGTGTTGTTTACTATGACAGACGGAAAAGAATCAATTCAGCCAAACCGACCTTTTGAGAAAGGCTTAATCAGTTCTGTGTTAGTGTTGTCCGTGCTCACTACATTCTTTTTTTCGGATTTAAAAACAAAACAAAATTAATTTATTGTTGTTTTTTTACAGTTGGTTAGATGCACCTAGTCATGCTGATTAAGAAAATATGTTATACTTTTGTACGTTTTTGACTTAAAACGTTAATGTTATGTCACTTTTAAGTCAAAATCGGTTGCAGGTTTCGTCAATGGCGGCCATATTGGCGGCCATATTTGGTCACATGACTTTGCATATTACGTTACATACTGTTTATCATGTTGGCAATTACATATCCTTTCTGGAAATGTATGATTGTCCTATGTTTTGTAGGCAACGTTTTCTATGAATTAGGAAAAATTCTTGATAAGTTGTCTTTCTCATGCCTCATTTGGCACAATTTGGAGCCACCCTCTCGTCTAATATAAGTAAGTAATTAATTCTCTCCGAAAAATGCCCAAATTCAAAAATTAAAACTTGCATAACTTTTGAACCGTTTATCCAATCTTCTTGCTGTTTATTCTTAAATTTCTCTCAGCTCTTTTGGCTCTACCTAGTGACATGTATCTTGGTCTAATTAATTGTTTTCATTTTTTTCCATGAAATCCCCTATTCACAGAAAGATCAATTAAATAAACCATGAGCCTTACTTAACTTACTGTATTTGCAGCGTAAGGTGTTACGAGTTATAATTTATTTTCATTTCATTTCCCGTTTGCAGTACACTGGTCTTTGGTATGAGCTAGAACGTTTTCCAAATTTCTTTGAGACGAACCAAATATGTGTCACCGCCACTTACGGAGATGCTGGTGATGGGGTCATCAGTGTCAGAAATGAGGGAGTGGTAAGGTTCAGAATGTGAGTA